TGTTGTTTAGATGGTGCAGTTTGTTCAGTATTCCTCTTTCAAGAGCTCTCTTCAAATGTTCATTTCGACTCACCTAAATTTGAAAAGGGACGTGTAAAAACATTAAATAAATTGCACATGAAAATGGGCTAACCTAGTTATTTATAGTTATATGTAAATAACTACTAAGAAACGCTGTGCTAAAATATTTAAAAGAGTCACTGACATGGATCAATAATTGTACAAGAAACACTATTTACATAATTTATAAACCAAATTCAGTTACTAAGGAAAGAAGTTTTTAATTACGAAATATATTTTCATTTGGTTTTATACAAGTAGTGAATAAAAGTTCCGATTATTTTAGGTTTATCATAAATAAATTGTTTTTTTTTTCAGATTTAAATACACAATACTTGCGTTGTCGGTTACGTTGGGATTGTGTTGGTTTTTTAATTGTATATACATTTTGGGTTATATAAATACTGGTTTTTTGTCCGATTAATGATTATTTCAATGTAGGTGGTTATTCTAATGGTTATTTTAATGTAGGTTTGCATAGTCTAAATGATCATTTACTAAAATATCCTGACTTAATGCTATTTGAATTTAAATTACAAGATTTAGTTAAGTAGTTATGAATGAAAATACTTACTTTTTGTCGCTGCTGTGTTGAACTATGCACAGTGAGTGCATAAATAAGTGAAACGTTCATATTGACTTTCTTTGAATTAATATCTTGCAGACGGTGTTAGTTTTTCTTACCTAAAAGAAATAAATTTAGTTTATCTAAACATAAACCACCGGATCACTCCATTACAAATGTCAACTATTGTGGTTAAATAACAGGATTTGGTGGCAAAACTTTGCACGTAACATATCGAAAACCAACATACGTGCATGCTGTGCATTTTCCAAGATGGCGGCCAATTTTCACAAAAAACCCACAATTTATCTCTCTCCCTGTAGCAGCAAACCTAGGTACTCATTAAACCTAATGTTATTTAATAGATTTAATTGAAAATTAAATCAGCAAATTGAATTCACTTAAACTGCAGGTTTGCTGTGGCGGGAGTATATTACAATAGCTATGTATATTTTTCATGTTACGTTTAAATTCTAAACATTGCTGTTAAGGGATTTTTCCCGCAGCAGGGTTACTAAAATGTAATAATTTGCTGGGTGGAAAAATTAAACTAACAGATATTAAACAAAATTAATAAAAACTGATATCAATAGCTTTTAGAGATAGGGCAAATTTGGTACGGACTAAAAGATGCATTTTTGTGTCTTCTTTAACTTTTGTTTGAGATAGATTTCTGAATTTCCAACGGTTTGTGAAATATGGGCAAAAAAGTACAAATCGGCCACCATTTTCCAAGATGGCGGCCGTAGCACAGCATGCTCGAATGTTGATGTTTAATATCTTGTTACTCAGTACTAGTACTACACATGTGCAAGGTTTCGCCCCTTAGGGAAATTTTCCACCTAAAACCCTAACATGAATGGACTAATATACGAAAACCTTCAATCTTAGACGAAAAAATAATAAACAACACTTTCACTAATTACTAGTTATACAAACTTTAAATGCAAATAGTTGAACCTAAATTTTAGTCGTGTTACTTACCAATTATTTAAGTGATAAAGAACCCATAATCTTTTCATTTTATAGGTACCCGACTATTAACTACCACAGCATTATGTAATAAGTATAATATATGAATTATAATGAACAATAGATCATTAATATTTGTTAGCTGTTGGAATATTAACATTTTCATTGTTGTTATTAAATTATTTTTGTGAATTTTTAATGCATTAATCATTGAGTACTAATAAGAAAATATATTATATATAGCATTTGAACAAAATAAAAATTTACTATAAAATATGTTGTAAATGTTTAAAAGAAGAAGATAGGAAAGTATAAGTAACCGTAACTGGTATCGTTAAAACTTGTAGAAGCTGGTCATTACGGCTTGAGCTTTTCCACGAACTACTTTAACATTTATCCAGTTTTAAGATGGGACTTTTGATCCTATCCTAATAAAGTGAAGATAATTATTTTATTCTTTTTATTTTATAAAATTAGTTATAATACAATCTAGGATAGTAAAATGAAAACACAATTTCGTACACTTATTTGGTATCATTATTTGGTTACCATAATACGATATATCACACTTTTAGTTGTAACATGGGGCAAACCTGATTAGCTTTGCCTTATTTTAAAACTAAACATCGTGGTATTTCAGTCACCTTTTATTCGATATTTTTGAACTTGGAGTGGTTTAATAGTTAAAATGAATTTGAAAGTTTAAATTGTAATGGGTCAAAATTATAGAGGGGTTAAGTTTTTATATTTATTATTTAATTATCAGTAGGCCTATTCCTTACCTGGTTGGTGATAGTGGTAAACCTATCATGGTAAGGTAAATAGGCTGTTCTAGGCCTATCCTAGGGTTGAAGTAGGGATAACCTCACTTTTGGCAAAATCACTAAAGACACTATTTTTTAGATTCACAAGTCACAGTATTGCATCGTTGTGTACAAAACGAGTGATAAACCGTTTCCGTGTAACCCCCATGCCTAATATACACCTTTGGGAAGTACGGTCAAAGTTGTTGGTTAGGCTAGGGTGGTGAACCGCGATCACAAATACAATATCACTACAACATGCATACACTTTGTCGCACACTAAGCTACACGTCACGGGTGGAAATTATACTTTTTGTTTAAACCAGCAATGATATTTAAGTTCCGCGTATAATTTCACAGTCGGCGCAGGTGAATAACAACATTAACAACATAACCTGTACTACTAGTCGGCTGTCTTGGCGTTGTGTTGTGACAGCGCCAAGTTTGAACTCGTGACGTCACCGATCAGCTGGTAATTGAATCAGCTGATTCCCCATCCCTAGAGGATTAGGGAGGGGGAAGTAGTGAAGATCCCTTGTGGGCAAGGGATGCGACGACATTCTAATTCTGCGATTTCCAGTGTCAGGACGTGTCTTGCTTTGAAACGAGTGATTTTGCTAAACGTGTGCTTTAGTGTGTCAGTGAAGATCCCTGGAGTATCCTGGTAATTCGCCGGCTTTATCTTAATAGTGTGTACTATTATTTTTTATTATTTAGATTTAGCGATAAACCCTCATTTTATTCTTTTAGACGTAAAACTCACGGTAGGATCTTTGTCGGGTGTTAGAACCTGTATATGTCCGCTTTAGCGTATGCTAGGGCTCCCGTGGGTGGCAATAAAGAGTTTTAGGGATACAAATTTCGTTTAATATTGTGTTTACAATATATATTGAGGGTGACGGGGTTATAGAGGATATTTTGCCGGGATATTCAGGAGGTGTTGAACTGCTGCGGCAAAGCGGGCAAAGTTGAACCCGTCTCTGCAGGTCGTGCAAACACGAGGTCGGGTGGAGCACGCTAAGTGTATATTCGCTATTTCGCTAGTAATAATATTCTAAGTGTTGAGGTTGACGAAACTGCAACATTTAGTTGTTTCAAAATTTCGTTGAATGGTTTTTCATTATTTTTAAATTTAATTTAATTAGCTGTTCCCAGGTGTGAACGATGATGATGGTACAGTAGCGTTGTTGGTTACCGGTACTGAGTTCACACCTGATTCACACTACATTTTTGCGTAAATACAAATCTGTACCTGTGCTAGGTTGTTGAGTTAATTAAATAAATTATTTTTATCCGAACCCTGGAAACTTCCCAGCACGCCGACTTGAGCGATCCGCTGGCGAGAGTTGGTGACGTCTTTCCCGCTTTAACCACGGAATAGCGCATATATTCCGAGCGGGAAAAACGGCACGTTACAAAATGTTAAATAAAAGCATTCATGACATTATTTTTTTATAAAACCAGTGTTAGTTTCTGGTAATGTAAATTTAACAAATGAGGATGAATGCAATTTTGACATTTTAAATTGGATCAAGGTAACTTGTTTTTTTACTTGCATCTCTTCTACCTTACAAACATATAAAGTTTCATAAAGATTGGCTTAAACGATCAAAAGATAACATTTTAATCCAAAAACGTACAATATCTGATTTACGAATTGATTTTGGAAAACATTTATTCTAAATTTTCTCTTTATTTTGACCCAGGGAATCATTTCGTAAATTATGCATCCACCGTTTTTCAACACCCTGTATATCCATCAATGGTGTTTACTCGTGTACTTGGCACATACAAACGTCATCAATAACAAGTATTTAACATTTTTAAGGCAGGTTTTCTCATGTCGGCCTACTGATTACAAAAATAAATACACAAACCAGAGAGAGACACATGTGAAAGAAAAATAAATCAGATTAAATATAAACAAATTAACACAGATGATTACAAAATTATATTTTAAAAAGATCACCATTCAAACTATGAGGGTCACTGGTCCAGAGCCCTTATCATACATTAATCTCGGTTAAGGGAAAGCAAAACTTCAGATTGAGCTCTTCAAAATAACAGATCCACAATAGAAAATCTAAGATCACAAAATATCTGTTCACAAAAGAATTCTTTCCAAATTAACTATAAGAGAACAACACTTATATCAAGGAGCCCATTTTTTTAATTCATGCAAATCACTTTGTAAAAACAAAAAGATGGTGCATAATAGAACATAATAGTGCATGGAGAGGGTGCATAATAATCCCTTAATCACTCTATACCATCCACCACAAATCTTTACTCCCTGAAGAGCAAAATGTCTTTTTAGTACCCAGGGAGGTAAAGTCAGCTGTTGTAAACAGTTTGTTAGTGAAGAGCAAACAATCTTTTTGGTACCCAGGGAGGTTTTTTTTAGTTAATACTGCAATGTGACTACCAATATAGTTCATCACACGGACAAAAAGTGTATCTTCGACTCTGGCTTTCCTTCTGAGCTCGGTTAGAAAGGAGTCACTTTACGTCATAGTGAGGAAAATATTTTATCACCAGTTACAACAATTGTTCAAATCTAGCCTCGTACAAAGTGAAGGTCAGGTACAAATACACATTAGTTTTCAAAACTGTATTGTTTATTTAGTACCTTGTCAGCATCATTTTCACAAAGTCGGCTGCTAGCTGTGCACCTCCCATTAAAGTAGCTCCAACTACTCTAGGAGCTAATCCTTCATCTGCTATAAGAGCTCGGGTTGCCTTTAAAACTTTTCGGGATTTAATAGAATCGTTGATAATTTTCGTGATATCATTTTCTTTGACCTCTTTGAATAATTCCGCATTTTTGATAGCCTCTATTGCCACAATTTGCTTGAAGGTTGCCTCGAAATCCTCTTTGGAAAGTTTTACCCCCATGTTTTTTAGATGGTGCAGTTCGTTCAGTACTCCTCTTTCAATAGCTCTCTTCAAATTTTCATTTCGACTCACCTAAATTTGAAAAGGGACGTGTAAAAACATTCAATAATTTGCACATGAAAATGGACTAACCTAGTTATTTATAGTGACATATAAATAACTACTAAGAAACGCTGTGCTAAAATATTTAAAGAGTAACTGACATGGATCAATAATTGTACGTGAAACACTATTTACATAATTTAAAAATCAAATTCCGTTACTAAGGAAAGAAGTTTTTAAATACGAAATATATTTTCATTTGGTTTTATACAAGTAGTGAATAAAAGTTCCGATTATTTTAGGTTTGTCATAAATAAATTGTTTTTTTTTCAGATTTAAATACATACTTGCGTTGTCGGTTACGTTGGGATTGTGTTGGTTTTTTAATTGTATATAAATATTGGGTTTTATAAATACTGTTTTTTGTCCGATTAAAGGTTATTTCCTATTTTAATGTAGGTTTGCATAGTCTAAATGATCGTTTACTAAAATATCCTGACTTAATGCTATTTGAATTTAAATTACAAGATTTAGTTAAGTAGTTATGATTTAAAATACTTACTCTTTGTGGCTGTTGTGTTGAACTATGCACAGTGAGAAGGAGGATCAACCCGGCAGTAAATAGTGAAATGTTCATATTGACTTTCTTTGAATTAATATCTTGCAGACGGTGTTAGTTTATCTTACCTAAAAGAAATGAATTTAGTTTATTTAAAAAATAAACCACCGGATCACTCCATTACAAATGTCAACTATTTTGGCTAATAACAGGATTTGGACCCGAGTTTAAGTACCCTACGCTGAAAGCTAGTTCAGCCACAGTCGGGTTTTCGTATTAATTAAGAATGAAATAGAGGTCATCCAGTGGTCGAAAACTCAACAAAAAATATGTAATCTACAGACGTCTCTATTTTCACCCAATGAAGAAAATAAAACATGCGACTGGAATTTCTTCCATTTGTTTTGATTTTGTTCATATTTCGTCACCAGCATGGCAACCCATAAGGCCCGTGTTAATTGTTTGAATATTGGAATTAGTATTTTGTGCTTATTTGTTGCCTATTTTAATTTATAAAGGGATTCTGCACATCTTCATTCTAATATCTTTCTATCAGTATGTGTAGATTTCCCCTACGTTGCACACGAGCTGAGAAAAAGAAACATGCTTGCCTATTAATATATAAATAACTCAATGTGTTGCACAGATATGCCTCCATTATTAAGTACCTAGAGCCCAACATCTCAATAATGAATTTACATTAACATGTATACATTAACATGATTACATTTACATACAATCTAACGTATTACACATAAAGGAGTAAAAAAACCCGCCTAGATTTTAATCTAGCCAACGAGGTCAAGTTATTTTAGGTAAAAATACCCCTCTAACTGGAACTAACTCCCTAATGGAATAATATATAAAAACCTTAAATCTTAGATAAAAAAATAATAAACAACACTTTCACCAATAACAATAACTAGTACTGTAACACAAACTTAACATGCAAACAGTTGAACCTAAATTTTAGTCGTGTTACTTACCAATTATTTAAGTGATAAAAACCCATTATCTTTTCATTTTATAGGTACCCGACTATTAACTACCACAGCATTATGTAATAAGTATAATACATGAATAATAATGAACAATAGATCATTAATATTTGTTAGCTGTTGGTATCTTTTCGTTGTTATTATTAAATTATTTTTGTGAATTTTTAATGCATTAATCATTGCGTACCAATAAGAAAAGATATTATATATAGCATTTGAAAATGAAATCAGCGTATTTGGATTTAACATTGAAGGTTAACAGTTTTAATTTTAATTCTTCATTAAAACTAAAAATAATAAGAAATATACTCAATATCTACGTACATTCCTGTTATCAGTAATTCAATATCCAAAATATTTTTGCAATGTGGTTTTGTAAGCACATAACGTAAATCGTACACGTATAAACATAATTTCCGGTAAAACGTTTTCTGCACTGATCTTCCCATTCTAGGAATTACCGTAAACTTTGTTAAGGGAAATCCTAAGACGAAACAGCAAGATTGAATACATTTGTGATTAGCGACGTTTTTACTGTTTATTTTAATTTCTATAATGCAAATAAGTGGTTGCCTAGTTCAAATAAATAATTGATAAAATAGAAAAATTACCTTATCCAACCACAGTTGCTGGTATGACAACTAGTTTTGTTCCTTAGAACATCATCAGGTCATTGTATGCAACCACATCATCAGTGTATACAATGACCTGACGATGTTCTAAGAAACGAAACTACCAGCAACTGTGGTTGGATAAGGTAATTCTTCTATTTTATCAATTATATATTCTAACCAAGGGTCACAATGAATAACATAAAATAAAAAAGATCAATCGAAATTATTGTAAATAAAAGCTGGAGAAAAAATATATCTGGAATCATACGTAAAACGATGTTGATAAAAACTAAAAATATTTGACAGAATGTTTGGAAAATATTAGTAATTCTAGCAAAATTGACCGCACATACAGTACAGTACATTTAAAAAGTACAAAAGAAGAAGATCAGAAAGTGTACGTAACCAAAACTGGTATCTTTAAAACTTGTAGAAGTTGGTGACTATCCCTTGAGCTTACACCAATTGATTTTATATTTATCCAGTTTTAAGATAGGACATTTGATCTTATCCTTATAAAGTGAAGGTAATTGTTTTTTTCATATTGTAAATAAGTTATTTAATACAATTATGAGATACTATTGAACACCTAATTACGTAAATTGGTTTGGATTTTTCGAGAAAAATTCATTTCTTGCTAGTGGACCTGTTCAAAATTTAGAAATTCCTATGTACAGTGGAACCTTGATAACAAGACCCTCGATCACAAGTCACGCTTTGTTACAAGTGTCATTTTCTAATCCCCTAGAATTCCTTTTAGACCTAATTATTTATTATTGCAAACCTTTTTAAGTATATTTTAATAATCCCCATGAGAGTCTTGTTATCGAGGTTTTACTTATGAGAGCGAGGTCCAAAAAACTAATCTCATACTAAGTTAATCTAGGTCTAGTTTATTAGATTATTTGATCTTATTGAAGACTAAAAGTGAATAATTACCAGAATTACTCATAATGTTAATACAACTTTTCTATCCTAAGAAATTCAGTTACTTTTTGAAGGTTTGAAATGGGCCCAGCTGTTCCTGATCATTGGGCCATAAATGGCCTTGGCTATTGAAACAGCTGATCTTAGTCTGCCCATCCCTCAACTTGGGTTAAAATACAAACCAAGGGGGCGTTACCATCTCAATAGTCGATAAGGAAATAAAAGCATCAACTGTCAACACATCGTAGGCTATCATGCTTGCAAGCTCGTTCCATTTATTGATCTCTTATATGTCTAGATGTCTTACCAATATTATCACAGAATTTTCTTATAGTACTGTCCGATACGGTTACAGTTCACCTAGACGTTATCCAACAGGCAATATTTGTGTGAACTATTTACAAATTTGTCGGGTACTAGGTTATTTTTCCTGCCAGTTATCTTATATGATGGTATTAAAATTTAAATATTTAGTACTTTTTAGGGCCTGGGATCACACACTATTACCAGTATTTAATTTTAAACTGTATCATCATTCAGACCATGCATTATTTTGTTTATATTTTGATACAGAAAATTATTAGTTCCAGTACCTCATGTTCTAGTATGTGTCTGTATAACATTAGGGACCAAAGTATTTTCTCCCATGTCCTTTATAACATTTGAAAAAAAAAATTACAAGACCTTTTCTTCTGATATGTTAATACTGGGTACTAGTACTACTCTTTCCACCTAAGACCCTAATATGAATGGACTAATAAAGAAAACCCTTAATCTTAGACGAAAAAATAATAAACACCACTTTCACCGATAACTACTGAGTCGTGACTACTTTCCACCGGCGAATGTCACGACTCATAATTAACGGACCTAGTGTAATAAACAATTACCATCTTACAGCTGGTTTTCCTAACTCGTACTGATACACTATTGATACAGAATTCTTGGGAGACATATGTGAAAATTAAAATAAATTAAACAAATTAACACAGCTGTAATATTATTTTAACATATAAAAGTCAAATTTCTCACTAATTCCTGCTACTCACTAACTGATTCATCTCTAATATTCCAATTTACAGACCAGGGGCCCATTTCATAATAAACTACAAGTTACAAGTTACAACTTGTAACTTGTAATTTCCATTAGATTTGCATTGGGCGATCAGCTGATTTACTAATAATATTAGTTTGTACTTTATTATGAAATGGGCCCCTGGTTGAAGTTTGATATTCAGGTCGAAAATAGGAAAGTTAAAGCTAGGTTTCATATTATTGAATGCATCGTACAAGTTTGTAAAGATCCAATGTTACATGGGCATTACATTTTTACCTATAATTGGCTTGTCATATACCATCTGATTTCATTTCATAATATCTGCAAAAATGTATTTTTGCTGACTGGTAAAAAAACTTATATACGATCTTTGTTTTGCTTTCAACTATTCTGCTGTTTACACCACTTCCTTTATATCAGCATGCTCTCATAGAAGTTTAGTAATTATTTATAAGATATTTATAAAATATAAAAACATATAAAAACACTATTAAAAATTATATTTTGTTTTATGTTAATTGGTGAGACTCTAGACTGAATACAATACCACTTTGACTTCCATATTATTATGACCCATATTTTTAAGAAAAATATAATTCATTGATAATAAACAGGTTTAGAATTACATCTCTTAGGGTCATTTCATTGACTAACACAATAGGCTAACGTATGATAACAACTTCAATCAGTTAGGCGAATAAATTATTCTAATACTCTCATATAATTTACTGAAAGGTAAAATACAAAAATACACACTGGTTCTCAAAACTTTATCGTTTATTTAGTACCTTGTCAGCATCATTTTCACCCAGTCAGAAGCTAGTTGCCCACCTCCAATTATAGCAGCCCCAACAAATCTAGGAGCTATTTCTTCATCATCTGACATAAGAGCTGTGGCTGCCTCGAAAACCTCTCTGGATCTAATAGAGTCGTTGATAATTTTCATTGCATCCCTTTCTTTCACCTCTTTAAACAATTTTGTATTTTTAACTGCCTCTATCGCAACAATTTGAGTGAACTTTTCTTCAACATCCTTTTTGGAAAGCTTAACCCCATTGTTGGCCAACTGTTGCAATTCGTTGAGAATGCCTCTTTCGAGAGCTGTCCTTAACTTTTCAATTTTGTCCTCCTAAAATTTGAAAAGGGATGTGTAATAATAGTAAATACAAATTACCACATACCATTAATATATCATTTAGAAGATGAACATAATCAACGGTACAAACAATATATTTCCTACCTGACCAATACAAAAGGAGATTATGACTCAAAAATTGTATATTTTTTCGAAGATTTTAAAATTGCATCTGAAGCCTCTTTATCTTTTATCAACCATACAAACATCTAGATGAGATTTTAGAGAACTACCTCCCTACAAGCCACCAGTAAATTTTATTTCAGTATCCTGTTTTCTCTCGATAGAGTATGAAATGTATTACTCTGTTACTTGCACCTGGCATTCCGATTAAGCCATGTTCAAAAACAGTAATAATTATATAATTTATAAAATAAATTTAGTATTCAAAGAAATAATAAGTTTTTCAGTACGAAATTAATTTATTTTCAATTGTTCTTAAAAAGTGGTAAAAAAGGTTTCCCATACATATAATGTTTTTTTTTTTATTTTAAACAGATATTACTTGGGCTATACGGTAACGTTGGAATCGTTTTGGTTTTTAATTTATTTATAATTATTGGGTCGAATGAATGGTGGTTTTTTGACCAATAAATGTTTTTTTATCCTTTGAATTTAAATTTGCTTAGTTTAAATAGTCATTTACCAAAATATCCTGAGTTGATGGTTCTAGATATGTAGCTAAATTAAATAATTTAATAATTAAGTACTTATAAATGAATAATACTTACACTTCGCGAACTATGGACAGACAGGAGAACTATCAAACCGGCAGCGAATAGTAAAGTTTTCATCTTGAATAGCAAATAAAAGCTTTACCTGAAACACAAGTTAAGTTATTATTAATTAATTTTTAAATGACTTTTTTGAAGGAATATCAGACAGTGTTACTTTTTAACCCATAAGAAATAAATTTATTTTATTTCCAGTTAAACCCATCGGCTTAAGGCAATCTCAAAAACACAGGATAACTAAATTACATAAGTCAAGTATTTTGTTTCACAACTGGATTTGGACCCGGGTTCAAGTCCCCTACTCTGAAAGCTAGTTCAATCACAGTCGGGTTTTATAATTAAATAATACAATATGTTGCAGTGATAGGCCTAAAATTTAAATTTTATTAGGCACCTGGAGCCCAACATTTCTATGACGAATTTGGCTGCAACATATTTACATTTTTAAAAGTGAAGGATATTGCCTGATTTTAAATGCCTACGGTTCCAGACAAAATAATAATAACGTGGCAAACACCTTTATAAATAAATAACTAGTATATCAATCTTAAAGTGAAAATAGTCTAAACTAAATTTTAGTTGTGTTACTTACCGACTAAGATAAGAAAGTGATAAAGAAACAAAAATCTTTACATTATATACCCGACTGTAGCAATGTTTAATTAGTAAAAGCAAAAAACTATAATGAACAATAAATCACAAGTGTTTATTGGCTGTTGGTATCTTAACCAAATCATTGTTCTTATCAAATTAGTTTTAAAGATTTTAATGCATATAATAATGATTTGCCAATCAGAAAACACATCATCCATAGCATTTCTTAACTTAAAAAAATTAAATAACTTCGAAAATATACAAAAAAATCATTTCATTATTTTTTAAACTAAAAATATGAACTAACGAAATGTATTTACATAAAAGATTACCTGTTTATGCATAGGGTTTGCATTATTGTTTTCTGTTATATTTTATATTAAAAGTAGAAGAAGGATGAAAACATCCTGTAAAGTAGTTATTGAAGGTTCATTATCGTTCTCGACACATATCAGGATTAGTTTCCAATTTACAGTGCATCGAGGGGCTTAGTTAATAATGATCAATCATTAGTTGTCATGATTCAGAGCCTTTATCTAGGGTTATTGAGTAAATGATTGTACGCCAGACAATTCAATGAATTCCTAATAAATTATGACGTTGCCCAGTGTATTACTAATCATGCATCAATTGCGCCAAAGAGTTCCTTAATTGTGCCAAGCCCTCAAAGGGTCCCAAAAAATGTTCCTTGCACAAAGCCCTAGGTAGGGGTGTGTTGCCGGCAGAAGGAATGACCTTGTTCACATGTCATCCTAACACATCGTAACCTCTAACCTAAATTAACCTAACCTAACCTAACCTAACAAAACCTATCCTAACCTGCTTCATTATACAGTACAATATGTTAATGAACCCTTGGTGCAGTTAATGAACGTATTAGGTGGCTCCCTGGAGTAGTTGGCGCAATTAAGGAATACCTGACAACCTGACTCAGGTAAGTTGGCGCAATTAATGCCCACTCGTACAACTCAGTTGGTCTTATGAGAGTTAGATCACAGACAAGGAAAACAAAAACAAAATCTTTTATTTCCTTAGTCAATGGTTAGATGTAAGATTCCTATTATTTTTCATGGGTGATTTAAGAGTATGACAACCATGCATCTGAGTGGTTACCTTTAAATTTGAAGATTGTCGGTTTGATACTAAGAAGCGTGGTTTCTTGGCCCAAATGTCTTTCTTCACTGGGGTATCCAAATTTCTGATACAATATAAGTCGACATTAGATCATATTCTGAGGTCTAAAACAAAACCAAGGTATAAATTGTTCCTTAAAAAAACAAAAAACTTAAACAATTTCAAACAACTTTAACCAAACACCAAATAAAAATATATTTTCTGGCGTTTGGTGAAAATATTTTACATAAAAGTAGGGTTAAACCATTCCGTAGATTATTGATATATAAAACAATACACAATTTATGATGTTTATACTTTTTATCTACAATGTATATAAACACGAGGTGAATATTTTTACCATTTCTCACAGGAAAGATGTTCATATGCAGATCTCAGAATTTACAATATTACATTTCACAGAATTTGGTGTAAGTAGCTTATCAACAAGTAGAAAGACGTATCTAAGTAAGCAATGTTAAGTGCATAGTGATGTAATCATGTATTCCTGGAGGAAACCAACTAGTTTTAACGGGATACAATATTTTTATATACTTTCTGCTTGAAAGTAATTGAAAGAACTTCCGATATAAGCTTCAAATATTCAGGTTCTAATTTACCCTTCTAAGCTGTCCATGTAATAAATTATAGAAGGTGTCTATGAAAAACGTTTCATGACTTTGGGGTATAAATCCTCATACTGAAAGGAAGAAAAAAGTTAAAGTGAATGTATGTCCAAAAATGAATGTTTACCTAGATATCCACAATTTTTTTTATACATAACTATTTTTATCTATGAAGTTTTTCAACCGATGATTATGAAATTTGGTAAGCATTTTAATGTACACAAGACCTACTATTATGAGAAGAAAATAAAGTTAGTCTCATTAGAAATTTCAAAATGGCATGCGTTTAAATTGTTCTAACTTAAATAGCTAGAAAATGGATAACTTTATAAAAAAATATCAAGGGCACTTTTTTAGATTTTTCAATTCCCTATCAAAAAAATTCAAGATCAAAAAGATTGAACGGCAAGTAACTGAAATATGTAACTTTTTTTAGTTGTAAGATGAGGCTAAATAACGTGCACCCTGACTAACTTTGCCTCATTTTTACACCAAAAACGTTATATTTAAGTTATTTAGGGTCCGATGTTTCTGATCTTGGTTTTGTTTGATAGATGAATTAGATATGCCAAAAAGATTGTGCTGGTTCGGTGTTAAAAAACATAGTTATTTTCTAAAAACTTAAAATAATTCATTTGGAAGCCAATTTTTCGATTTGAAACCTCTTATATGCATAATCAAACTTCATTTACTTTGCACTTACACACAAAAAATGTTTTTAACAATTATGACCTGACACTCTGTATATTAAAACTTGTAAGTTTAAACAAATTCTAGAAACATATATAACCATTAACTCCTTCGTATTTTGGGAATGGTCGTGTATTTCTTAAACTATAAATAATATTATGTTTTCGAAAATGTAGTTTTATATTAAAACAGTTGTTCAAAGCTTCTCACACTTTAAAAATCTTTGGATGAGATTTAACTTATAACCAAATTTCTTAATTTACATTTATTCCAGTAAACAAATCGTTCGTTTTAACCCCACTGTTTCTGAACATACATAGAATTGATATTTCCTTCATTGAATTTATATACCCTTTGTTAAACTTATAATTGGTCCATTACCAACGGGTGTAAACTTTATATAACTCTAGTTACCAAATATCTTGACTCAACCCTTATGGATATTTTTAACACTATTTTCCTACAAAGTCAAACTATTGATTAGGGTGTGTTATAATACTTATAGACAAAATAATTCTGCGATTTATTAACATGCTTCAAGGAAATAAGTTCCAAGCAATTTCTGGCACCATAACAAATAGACCTGAATTAATACCACTAATTATTCAAAAACTATAGCATTCATAGAGACAGAAATCATATTACTGTACAAACTCTTAATAATATTTTCAACTCTGTAATGCTACAACATGTTGTAATAGCTATTTACATTACAAGTGTAGTAAGAGCGTTTTTACATCACGCAGGTGAATGTTGTGCAACGAACGGAAGCGAGTTGCAGAATTCACCTAAGTGATGAAAACACGCTCTTGCGTAACGTGTAACGTACTAGATTTTACCTGACCCGATAATATACAAGGGGTTGCGTACAATATTTTTCATTATCCATTTCACTCATCTTCTAACATTAACGTTCCTTTACAAACGAAAGCTAGGTTAGGAAAGTACTTTAAAGCATAACAGTAACATTCAAGCGCACAGCTGATTTCTGGCGTTGAACGTCGTTGGCTTCATAGAGGTTAAGTTGAGCACTCAATGTTATTTAAATGGGTTTCATTACTTCACTAGTGAGTTCTTGGAACTTAACTTCACTCGTGAAGTAAATAAGTTGTTTACATCACGCTTGGGATAGGGAAGATTAACATTGCGGTTTGGGTAAAATATGTAACAAAGATTTACTTTCAAATGCAACTCTTTATTCAGTAACGTGTCAAAATCATTGTCATCAAGTCTGTAGCTACTTGGGAACCTCCCATGATCAATGAACCGATCACTCTAGGAGCTATGGGCTCCTCAACGATTGCCAAGATACCATCCATCACCTCTCTGGACCTCATTGCTTTATTGATAACTCTGGGAATCTCCGTTGCATGGATTCTTCTGAAAGAGTCCATATTCTTGACAGATTCTATCATCAAGATATCAAAGAGTTTCTTCTCAGCTTCTCCCTTAGATAATGTCACTCCTGAATTTTCCAGATTTTTCAGTTCTTTTACAACTCCTCGTTCAATATCCCTTATTAACTTGTTAGATACGCTCTGCAAACAAACACAGGTGTGTAAGTGAAAAGTAATAAATAAAAACACATGTGGTAAATATAGTTGGGGATAAGATCAGAAGTAAAAGAATTAATAAGAATCAGATAATCTTCTTATCTTCTTCATAATCTTCTTATCTAAATCAGATAAGAATCAGAAGTAACTTCTTGTTAGGAACTGTTATAAAAACCTTTTGAGATTTTGTTCTCATTCTGAATTTAATTTACTTAATTTGTTGCTACATCTACTGAATTAATTTTTCAGTATGAAAAATGTTTAATTCTCTAAGGAATTAATAAAAATGTGTTCATACGAAAATTAATAATACCATTTTTCTAGACTTCTGCTGAGTGGAGTGCTGAATAGCAAGCAAGAGCAAACATGCTGATAGAAGCAGTTGATTCCTCATTGTGACCTGAAATATTTCAAAGACTTTCAACCAATGTACCTTATTACCACCATATATTATATTCAACCCACCATATTTTGTGTTCAAATGCAAGCCTGTTCCTCTCAATTCCTGTCCTTAACTAAGTTTGGGGTAAATTTAGGTGAAAATCAACAGTTTCTATAATAAATCATAAACAACTCATTAAACAAAAATACACATACTGCTTTAATCATTCATAACCCTTTTATCGAAATAACCTGAAATTGATAGGTTTGTTATGTTTTATATTTTAGTTAACTTGTCTTTTTATAAGTAGCTTACTAAAAATATAGCTATGCTTTACTACTATGTTTATAAACATTGTATAAAAACGGGCCAATTTAAATCTGAGTAGGAGCTTAGTTTTAATGTATATGTTATTTTATGTTGCTTACCAGAATCCTCTAAGGCCTCAAATCCGAAAGTTCCCCTTTTATATATTTAGCTGTTGTGTAAATTTAATGAACGAAATCTAATTAAACATATAAGATGAGCAATTGTTATTTATACACTTTTATCTATAAAAGCATTGCATGGTTGAATTTTAATTACTTAAATGTGATGTCGTCTTATTATTTTAACCATGTAAGAATTTAATTAAAATAAAGGTATTGTAGCTTTTCCTTATTAACCAAGGCTTAAATTAAGGGTCAGGAAATAAAATTGTCACCTGCCTAAATCTAGTAAAGCCTATTGAAAGACGTGTTTAATTCCTTTCATAATTTTAGAAATATAATGTTAAAAAGAAAGTTTTAGTACTTATCAACTAAAACTTTCTTTTTAATATTTTATTTTTAAATTAGGGCTTGTGAATACAACAAGAAACTTCGAGGAAAAAGCAATATCCTTTTGATAAAAGATTAATATTTGATGAACAGATTCCAGTGGCCTCGCCCTCTCACTCTAATAATAGATTTCTTACCCGATATCAATTTCAATTTATTTTTGCATCAGTGGACGTCAATAAAATTGTTTAGTTCTTAACAAACGACAGCTTTTCTTCTGTCTGAATATCAAAGCTGAATATTTTTTATGTAAATTCTTCTGTCAAAATCGAGTGTGACTTTTAAATTATCATAATTAATATCTTAATAAAAATGAATTCTTTTTGTGAAGAAAACTCATTTATGTAACAGGAGCAACATTGGTCAGATTGTACTTTCGAAACATCAAGAAAACTCTGAAACTTTTGGATTTTGTTAGGTATGGTGACTTCTAGCTTTGGTAGGTTATCGTTTTATATAATTTATACCAGACCAACTATAGCGCACACCTTTAAATCGGAAGGTCAATAATATCAATCAATATCAATAATTTAAAATGGGGACGCCACTATATGCGTGTTTTAATCCAAATATGAGTGAAGGATAAGTGTAGGATGATATTGTAGTCTTGTTAGTGACTAAGGCCGACATGTTCCTTAGACACCGCTGTTAACTAATAACCCACAGCCAATGGCAACTAAGGGACCTACAGGTAGCTGGTCCGTCCCCATGCAGAGTCTACTCTAGATTTCATCTGCTTTTGTTGATAAGACAAAACAAAATTAACAAAATCATACAAAACCTAACAAAATCATAGAACGAAGAAATGTTACGGTTAAAAACCTTTCCTCACAAAAAATGAAAAATGTGTAAATGTCATTTGAACACATGAAATATAAAAAAATTTGCTATACATTTTAAGGTTAACCCATTTCAATATATTCTTTTGGTAAAAAAGGTAGGAGCCTAGGATAACTTTTTCAAAGATTTGTCTTTGACTCTACTGAAGAATTGTTCATTTTGTGGTTAAGAATTGAGTTAAAGAAACCATGAAGTCATATTTTACCTTATTGTTGCCTACTTTTAATATACTTAGCTACCCATGTTCATAACATAAAATATTAAAAAAATATAATGATAATTAACTTTACCTCTTTTCAAGAACACTAATGTCTCTTAAGTTTATGTGGATGAATTGTTAGTTAGTCGTTACTCCATTATGAAGACAATAATCATACTTCAGGGACGCTGTATCATTGTGAACTAATGACCGAGTTATTGTAAATTAAGCCCCGATGTACTGTAAATTGGCAACTAATCCTAATATCTGTCCAGAATGTTAATGGAAATTCGATATGTGTTATATAGACTGTTTGTCATCAAATAAGTGAACCAATCAATTAGGCTAAACGTTAGTATATGGGAATAATTATGTCCCTTTGTAGTTTGAAGTCGATTTAAAGATATATTATGTATAACGTAATGTTTTCCAAATTATTTTAGGTAATTATACTCATTAAATTGCGTTTGGACATAGTAAAAATATGTGTGACATACACATTTTAATTGCCTTGTTTTACTCACTAAGACAGATTTGTAAACTACCTGTGATACTAAAATAAAAAAAATTCTTATTTATTATTTAGTTTTTTATTTTCTCTATATATTTGTTGTTGAATTTAACATGATAGTATTTTTTCTAATAACTGTTTTGAGTTGAAAACTATAGATACTAGACTTTTTATTTCTGTATTAAACCTTGTGGGGCCCACTGTGTATTCTAAATGCACTAGAAGGGTGTGTGTTTTTCTGTTCATTATGCTTCTTTATACTCCCTTTGAGGAGAGTGAGCCGTAGAACATGAGGGTTTGGTACCCCTGGGGGGGGGGTGTTCAAATAAAAAAAATGTGTATTGGCAATGTGATATTGCTACCCTCAATGCCTGGCCTGACTTAATGTTTACGTTTCTTTCAGGCTAAGAAATTCCTAGCCTTAGAAAAAATCCCCTAGCTTTCACATTTCTGAAGAAATTCCTCTAAAAAACCTAAAAAATATACCTTTGCTGCAAACCTACACAAATTGAAAATTCAGAGTTAATTGATAAAACGGACTTAAATTACTGAGTTATTGCAGAAAACAGTTTTCATTTACAACCAATAAAATTACAAAGTGGGCCGAAGCACCATAAACCACGAAAATAGTCTTCTCTTTCTCCAAGTCTGATTGGAGTCGTCTCTATGAACTCTAATCAGGATGGTTTTTTCCTAGGACGCTAGGCACGAGCCTGGGATTGTTTTTCACATTACCTCAGGCTAGACCTAGAGACTGTGGCATTATCCCTTAAATAAAATCCATTGGTGATTTTGCATGATTTGAACCCGGGACCTCATGGACCGAAGTACCGCGCTCTACCTCACCAAGTCCACGTACTCCATATCTTTTCCACATCTACTTTCAATACACTGTTTTTATTTTCATGTAAAAAAACCAAACATTTATTCTAGTTAATATTTATTTAACAATTGTACAGTTTAGTATCGGGTCAACATCATCTTCACAAAATCTGAGATCAACTGGGTGACTCCCATGACACTAGCACCTATTACCCTTGGTGCTAGGGGGTTCCGTAATATTTCCTGATAACCCATTTGAACTTCGGGACTGGCCAGTGTTTCAGCAATAACACCCTTTACCACGTCGTAGTCAAATGCACGATCAGCTGCTTGTAGTTGGAAGAACAAGTCAATATTCTTAATTGATTCTATAAGAGTGAGTTCGAAGAGTTTTTTCTTTGCTTCATCTTCCGAATATTTCAATCCTTGAAGGGACAGATGGTGCAAGGAATCAGCAACTCCCCTAATAAGAGCTTCATTCAAGTAGGTGTATGCCCTGCTCTGAAAAAAATAATCACGAACTTGGTTTTAAAGGCTGTTACTATGTTTGGTTATTTAAGTAGCATCCAATCAGGATTGACTAGCCGTTATCAATATTCTTTTACAATAGAATTTAATAAAATAAGAAATACTTTGACTTATTAACCATTATATTTGATTTTACATAGAATATATTACAGTTAACTCTTACTAGGCTACCAATTAAGTCCTGCAATAATTAAGCTTGGTAAAAGTTTGCGTATTCAACAGTAATCGGTTATCATCAGTGGCTTCAACGCATCTTTCAGTGGCCCAATTTCACCATTGTAGATTAAGTTTATTGTAAAATTAGCTATTGCTTTAACATTGGAATTAAGTGCCTATTCTTATCGCTAATAAAACTTTATGCTAAAAATAACTCCCCATGGTTTTGGTACGCATGATAATAAGTAAGTTATCTCAAAAGATTTTCTTATTGGTTCCATCTTCTCTTCAAATAAAATTGGAATAAAGAGAATCTTGTGATGTATTCAACGAAACATAGTTGAGTACCCTGTTTCCTGAATACGTTTGAAATATCCTTCTAAGTTATTTGAATGCAGTTAGATAAATACAAAATTTGTATTTAAATACCTGAGGTTACCTGGGTTCTCTAGTAATTAATTACAAAAGCTTTAATTTAAATAAAAAATTATTAACTCGAATAACTTGTTAACTAAGAGAGGTTTCTCCTTTCACAAGTTATAGTCAACTGGTTAAGTAATTTACTATTTGGTTAAGGAGTATAAATAAAACGTATTCACATAAATGCTAATGATAATGTTAAAAACCAGTAGCATCTTACTATGAAAGCAGCAGGGGTATCAACAAATACCTTACACCTACCTTATAATATTGCTGGCTGTCCTTAACTAAGACCATCAAAACCATCCCAACCGTTATAAGTGGCAACTTCATTTTGGACTGCACTCTAAAAAAATACAATCAAATTAAATCTTATTTATACATACTCCCTTATAATATTGCTGGCTGTCCTTAACTAAGACCATCAAAACCATCCCAACCGTTATAAGTGGCAACTTCATTTTGGACTGCACTATATAAAAATACAATCAAATTAAATATTATTTATACATACTCCCTTATAATATTGCTGGCTGTCCTTAACTAAGACCATCAAAACCAACCCAACCGTTATAAGTGGCAACTTCATTTTGGACTGCACTATATAAAAATACAATCAAATTAAATCTTATTTATACATACTCCCTAAAAATTTAACAGTATCTGCAATCTCAGTGTTTTCTCCATCAACCCTTATTACTAGGCTGAGGGTGGAACTATAATATTTAATGAGAAAACCAAAGTAGCAATCAATAACTTCTGAAACGTAATTTTGATAATGATAGAGATTGTATCCTTTTATTTAAAGTTGAAAAACCATAAAATACTAAATTAAATAAAAATTAAAAAACGTTGAGCAGTTGTTGAAAAACAGCTTTTACGTTATTTTATTGGGTTTTATAGGGAACTCACGATACATTTACTTTTGAACCGTAATTCCTATGACAATGAGAGTTGTACCATTTTGATTAGACTTACAAGGACTATAACATACTACATTTTATTAAAAATAGTTCAGGACTTTTTAGATGAAATTATGCTTTTCTTGTTTTTTTTTGTTTTATATAAAAATTCCCTTTAAATAAAAGATTAAATGAAATGAAAAAAAACCCGCCTGGAGATACCATGGTTTAGTACATTCCTTTTAGGTACTAATCCGATAACAAAACTAAATAAAATTTGGATATTATACAATATATTTTTGAGATTTCATTATTCTCTACATCTCTCTTTGTCTCTACTTAAGAATTTCAATAGAATATGCTGAATAAAAAAAAATACCAAAACCAAAGATATTTTGGCCATCTTGATATATAATACGTTTAATTTATGTTTTGAAAAAAAAACAAAAAAAAAACACTGATATTATTTCAACAATAGCAACCTCATATTATTAAGGGAATCTATTAAGTGGTTTTAAGTAACAATCTGCAAAAAAAAAGAAATGTATGTATACCTACCTTATGGATTTGTTAAATATCAACGAGTAAAGTGATCAAATTTATTTATACAAAAGCAAATAAAAGAGCGATTTCTCCAAGGAGATTACCGGAACGAATTTTAATATCGAACTCCAATAGCCGTGAAGTGACAGATATTATCTGTTAAGTATATTTTACGATTCATCCACTTATCAAGTTTTTGTCTTTTTAACACAGAAACAGTTTATAAACTTTGATCGACAAAAAACAGTTTTTACATAATTTTGTTTGTTGACTACTAATAATTGTTTGTGAGTCATTACACATTTTTAGATTTTATTCAAGTTCTTTTTGAAACGTGTATATCGTAAAGATATTATTTTATATTATTTTAAACTAATTATATTTTATGAGGTTTAGCTGAGGATCTAAAGAGAATGAAGGAGTAAGATGAATAATAAAATTACATCCAAAACCACGCAACTCTAAAAATAATCACTAGCTTCGCCCCGGCGTTGCCCAGGTGGGTCAACATAAAATTCACAATAATGGCAAAACAATTAATATGAAAACAAAAATATATACGTTGTATTATTGACAAATAATGTATTTTATTTGAAAATATTTTGAGTCTTGTCTCTTTCCGTTCATATAAGCTGGTGGTGGTACTTGTAATTGGTAATTTATAATTACATTTCAAACAGTAGGCTACAGTATTAATATATTTACTTACAATCTTCAGAATTTATTTGCTTGGCAACATTTAGATACATAATACATTCTTTGATGTTCTTTTAACTTTTTCTCGGAATCATGACAAAACGCTTAAAGCTCTCTACACGCCCGTTTGAAAAGCATTGTTAGAGTATTAAGCCCGTTTTACTTTGTTGCATGAGTTATAAATATTTCTAAATATTTCTAACATTTCCTCTCTTACACACACCCACATTTTTACGAAATTCAGCTCAGTTAAAGAGCGAATACAACCTGTTTTGAATTAAGAATATCACTATTGTTAGGTGACACACATTTTACATTGTAAAATAAAACATCAACGAACAGTTGGTTCAAAGTAATACAGTACCTATAATATTAAGGGTCCCTTTACCATTTCCATGTTTATGGTATTTGCATTTAAACACCTACCAATGATTATACAAACTAAGAAAATAACAATTACACATACCATTGACTACAAAAACACAATTAATTGCACATTTAGCATTGATTTAGGAAACAAAAGGTGAAAAAAGGGTTTCAAGTTGATGTCTGAGTATCATTCTTTGTAGTTTTAATTTTTAGTATTGATTTCCCATAAACCCTCATACATTGACGGGTTAGAACATGTTTAAGCATATTATGGTTAAAATTTGGTATTATAGTACATTTAATTCCAACCAACATAGCGAAATTCCCATTTCTAAAAAAAAAACTTTTAAAACATGTTACAGCTTTCGTGGTATTTCCTTTAAAATATCATAGTTATTCCAACTACTGATGAATGATAAAGGTTTCAAAAAGCTGCTGGGAGAAAGTGAGCTAGATTTATGATACCGTTTTTTTTTAAATTAGTGGTGCTATAACGTCCTGCCATATAATTGTACAAAATATCATTTCCATGACAGTTTATGGGATAAACTATCAACTACATACGTGGAACACGAACTCTCTGACAACCCAAGTTGATTGAAAATTAATCACATTCCCGGTTTGTCTGGTCCAGTGCAATGCAGTTTATGCCATGACTTTAACCCTTTGCGGGTGTACTCATGACATAGATATTTGGAACAGCAATCGAAATGCATAATTGCATCAATATTCTCGTAAATGTTGATAAAACTATGAATTACTTCTATAAAATTAGTTTTTAATCTTTAAATCTAAATGTTTTATGAATCTGTGTAATAAATAGGTTTTTATACTATGGAAGTAATTTTGTTCAATGTTCTTATTTTTATAAACCAATAGCAAGTAGTATGTTATAGTGACCAAGGCATTAATAGCTTAACGATGCTTACTTTTTGAATTTACCCCTAAAATAAAACAAGAGCTAATCAAAATCTAAAACCTTTTCACAGGGTACAATTGAGTGCAGATTTATATATAGTATTTTGACGTCAAAAGTAATATTTTAAAAATTTATACCTGAATTATGTAAAACTTAGTTAACAATAAAAAAACAAAACAATCATATACATACGGATAAAAAGTAATAGTGGTTGTAAAAACAAGCAAAGGTGCATTTTTTTTTATGCACAGCAATTCTAACCATTCATATGAATCGATAGTGTCACCTATCTATCTTTCTACTCTTGTAGTTGTATAGTTTTAAAACCCCTTTGTACTACTAAATCTACAGTTCTGCTGAACCGATTTTATAACTTATGGGTCAGTGGGAAGTTTACTCCATGCAAATTTGCAAATAGTTATGAAAGTTTTTTTGGGGGGGGGTTTAAGGTGACAAAACGTGCTTACCCCTTGAAATACATTGAAAACGGGGTTTCACCGTTATTATGAAGACATTTTTGGCTGCCTTCATTGGGTATTTTTAAGAAATTGCATGTACCGTAGTAGTTTTATAGGAAATAAATGTAGAAGTTATAGTGGTGAGAAAATACTGAGACAAAGATTGATTTAAACTTTATAAAACTAAATCAACAGTTCTACTGGATCAATTATGTTAGTAAATGGATCATCATCGTCTAGTTCCACAAAAAATTATGAAAATTTGATTTTATTGAAGAGTTATAGTGAAAAAGTAAAATACAAATTTTATACTGTATAAGAAGAAATACATTAAATACGGGATTTTCCTCTTTGGTTGATTTCCTGATCATTTAGAAGTCATTTGCAAAAAACAGTTGCCAAATTTATAGTGTTGAGAAAATATTGAATTAGATATATTTCTGTTAAATTTTGTACAACAAAATCTACAGTGCTAGTAGGCCGATTTGATTATTTCGTAGGCAATGGAAAGGTTCATCCATGTAGATTTGAAACTAATAATGAATTTTGGATTTTTTAAGGTAGTAATAGGTTTGCTGGTTTGCATAATCTGATCATCTGGAATATGAGTTAATAATTTAATAAATGATAGTTGTATTGTTATAATCTTGAATTTTATTTTTTTACATTTTTTTGTTTACAATATGCATTTGTGCAAGCAAATATTAAACAAAATTTTTTTAAAGACCGTTGTATTAAACAACAATGGCATCTGTTGCTAGTAAAAAAAAATTGTCGTGTATGCCACTCACATTTTATGTTAGAAAATCAGAGAGCTCTTCTTGACAAAATTTATACTTTTGTTATCAAACACATATTTGGTGCTATATTCGATCACCTTGATCGCTATGGGAGGGGAAGAGTTAATACTATTCATTCAATTTCACCTTTCGGGCTAAAAAACTAAGTGACGATTTGTTTAAATAAAACAAACAGGTTAATGCACTGATTTAACATTGGCTATATTTACTGTTAACAATCGTAAATATATGTTAACAGCTTTTGTTGGAAAAAATACAATTTTCCTTGCTCATGATATATAGGCTACCCTATCTTTGTCAGATGAAGCCTGATTATGACTTGCGTTTCTCATCGAAATTAATGGGCATCTAACATCTAGCATTTTAATTACAAGTTTAATTGATTATGGCAGTAGCAACAACATTTCATTCTAGAATTAATTACATGTCAATAATAATTTAAAGTTGAAACTTATGAACGAAGTTTTGATTACTTTCAGACAGCACCTTACAGTTTGTGGTTGGTTACATTTTGTAAGCAAGTTTGCTCTCATAGCAGTGACAGCCAGTTGGACGGAGCGATCACATTTCATGGTTTTTAATACAGCAATAGAAGCATTTGATAGATAATACAAAATATAATTTTTTAATGAATTTGACTTATCAGTTTCGCTCAGAA